CCTAATAGCGATGGCCTCCACACTAGTAACGATGGCCTCCAACCGAATAGGTCCTCCTACCTAGTAGTGTTGGCCTCAAACTCACAAGCGATGGTTTTGACCCTAGTAGCGATGGCCTCCAACCCAATATAGCGATGGCCTCCACACTAGTAATGATGGCCTGCAACCGAATAGCGATGTCCTCCTACCTAGTAGCAATGGCTCATGAAAGAGGAGGAGTGACGGAGCAAGAAAACATATTGATGCGAAAGAAAGGAGGCAAGTAATCGACCAGGTTTTTGATAGCTCAACCTCACACGCCCACTTGTACCACAAGGTGATAACACCGTCTAAACACGGACGCGGAACAGAGAGAATTCGAGAGACCACAGGTTGAGACAACTCACCATCATATTCTTTGTAGCCAGTTCTTTTCTTCCCCACCTCACCCTACGAGATTGAGGCACTGAATCCAGGTAGTTGGATGCAAAGTCACCTGGACAGGGGTCCAACCGAAGGTCAGTGGCCAGTGGCTGCCAGTGTCCTGACAGCAGACCCTGCTATTGCAAAGTGTCGTCAAGCCACCTGCTCTCACTCCAAGCATTGCCTGCTAAAGCAATTGGCAATTGTTTCCTATTTACGAGACATCCAGGTCTAGTGAATGCAGGAGGCTCTTGCATGGAGGAGACTGGCGTTGTACCCCACTGCACCTTTCTATTGACTACTTCACGAGCATCGAATCGAATAAGATTTACGCAGATCCTCGCGTTTCCTCGAAGAATGCCAACCTTCAGACATCTCACTCCCTGCAGCCCAGCATGGAGAGTCAGAAACTCTGACAGGATGATGTGGTTTTGGAGTGTGTGCTACTGATCGGCAACCTTGCGAGCAGTCGCGCAGACCCGCCTGGCTTAGCGACCTGTGTCGTGAGATAGACATGTCGAGGGAGACGGAGTTCCAAATGTACATTCCAAGCAAAGATGACTCCGGGGCTGAAATTACACAGGGCTCTCTCTCTCTCTCTCTCTCTCTCTCTCTCTCGCTCGTGTTCTTGACCTGACCCCATCACATACAAATCTTTTTCCAGATACGTAGGTGATGTTGATCAGGAAAACATCTTGAATTCCTCCAAATGTTCTGTTCCTGTTCTCCGAGCCGTTTGTCCGGAGCTTCGCCCGGGACCGTGTCAGCCGTGCATCCGTGGCATCGCCAGGATTCGGTGCAGCACGTCGCCGAGTCACGTTTGCCGACGATGATGCAGGACCATGTCGAGAGAGGTTTGAGGTCTAGTAACAAGTGCCTTACCACTACAGTAGATGGACCAAAGATTCAACCCCCTGAACCAATAACTGTCATCAGCCCCTAGCCCCCAAAGGTCAATGCTGAGCACGACTTGATTGAATTTGTGTTTGCAGGGTTTGATTTGTTTCGCCCATTCGCCGAAACACTCTTGCAAGATCTCTAACACTGAGCTTTGGGGTGGAAGGGGTCCACGTGGTTTGAAGGGTCTACGGTGCTGGGTGCTGGGTGTGGACGGCGACCTGAGACCTACAGACGCACATGCGTGTGTTGTTTTCGGGCATTGTCCTTGGAGCGAATTTGGGACGCTCATGTGCGATGAACTTGGACGAAGAGCCGTCGCTGCTCAAATGCCAGCAAGGCGTTGAAAGCCGTTAAGGCTTTCCAGTCTGGTACCAGCAACTCTTTCGCATGGATGGCTCCAAGAGCAGCTATCTCTGCCGCCCACGCGTCGGCCTTTGCAAGAAATAGATCAGCCAAAGGAGCTGGAACAAACACGTCTTTGCCTTTCACCATTCCCTCACATACGAGGCTTGCATCAAACCCCTGGCCGTAAAGGCTCCACAGAAGGCACGGCAGCGCGCCCCAATAACTTGGGCTCTTCCAACAGGCGTATTTCACACTGCTGGTAAAATCCCACACCAACCCTCTGGGAATTACAGATTTGTCGCCCACATTCGTTTCAACTTGACAAGTGTAGCCGACCAATCCTGTATGTTGATGTGGCCACACCTTCGTACCCTGCCATGCGAGGAAGCTTTTCGCATGCTAACCATCAAGGACCTGCCTCAGGAAATCCTAAAGCAAAGGCGTTGCTGTCTTGGATGAGCCGGCTTCAAACGACAAGGGCAACATTCAGCGGCTCAACTTCTTGGCGCACGGCCCAGGCGGCTGTGGCAAATCGGTAGTGACCCGCTGTGGCCTTTTCAACCAGGTTGTGCGTCCCAGCTTTTTTCTGAGGCATGGCCACACGCGCCGTCCGGAGGACTTGAGCAGCGTCGAAGGCAGCAGCGCCGTCCCGGATCCAGCAGCGCACACCGTGCGCAAGGTATCGTGTGTTTTAGGTGTTGTATTGTGGCCACGCATTTGAACTGCCAGAGTCGACTTTGCATATGTCTGATGTCTTCCCCATCAACACCAGGTCGAGGAAGCCACAAACCTTCAGCCTTCGCTGTGAGAACGCAACCATGGTGCCACTCGAAGTCAATTGTTGCCATCGTGTCCATACTCGACAAGCCGGAAATCATCCCAGAAAAGGGACCGCTTCTCCTTGAGGATGTTGCGCAACGCAAAGGACGAATCAAGGGCAGGTTTGTGGCTTTGGCAAAGCCAAGCAAGTCATGAAACGGCAAAACCAATGTGGACTTTCCTGAGTTTGTTCGATCCACGATCATCGGAGCCCTTGTGGTCTTGGAAGGGCTAGCAATCAGGATGTTCCGCAAGGCTGCTGCGAGGTCTTTCTGCAACAGAGAGAAGCGGCGTTTGCGCGCAAGAACGTACCAGCTGCGTGGGCGTAGGTGCAGCCAGTATCACGCGGACATTCAGCAGCAGCTGCTTGACAGACCAAGGCCCACGCCGTCCGACTCTCTTTCTGTGGTTGCTGCCTGGCTTGCCCCCACGCGCGCGCCTCTGCTATGACAAGGGCGAACCTCTGCCACTGATGCAGCAGCAGCGCGACCCACCCCACGAAAACCATGGAAAGCCGAGGAGCTTGCCCCCCACAGCCTTCGTGGAGCAGCCTGCAGGCGCACACAGTCTGTTTTTTTCAGGCTGGCGTCGCCAACGACCTAACGCTCACAGAGAGGTTCATGGCTTGCGGTTTCTGTCTTTTGACGCGAGCGGAAGTGGAAGAAAAACATCACTACAAAGTTCAGGGCGCCAGACCACCCTCAGGAAAGAAGCCGCCTCGACACTCCAGAAGAAGCTGCGCACGCCCAGCCATGGAACGGACAATGTTGGTGATGCGGTCCCCCGACAGACTGCAGCCTGTTTGATTGTGTCGGCGCAGCTTTTCGTTTGGTCTTTGGCTACTTTGCAGTCTTCCGCATTTTCTGCTTCATTGCTGCCCAAAGGCTAAAGTCTAGCAGGTTGAGGTCTGGTGATCTCTTGGGCAGGTCGAGGTTGCAATGCTAGCAGCAGCCTTGGCTGCCATGCCCTTGCTCCTCTTGTGTTGTAGCCGGAGGGGTCGTTGTCTTCCAGGACGTGCCGTCATCATAGTCGGGGAATTTAATGTAGATGAGTGCTCGTTCCCATCACTTTTGGCTACAATATGAAGCTTTTGGACGCCAATGTGACCCATGTGTACCTGCCGAATGACTGCTGGACCTTCCATTCGCCTTCAATGCTGGGGCAAGTGCAATCAGTCTTCATTAGTTTGTATGTGCGAATGCCACAGCGGCCACAGCGTTTGTCAGCCCATATCGAAGGTACCGCGGAAATTTCCAAGAAGGTGGTTTCGTTGGTCTGGGCGCGGCAAAGGTCCAGCATACGTCTCCGCTGCGGCCTTTCCGTTCCACTTCCTGGGGACCACGCGCCACATCAACACCTTTCCATTACCAATGGTGCAGGTGACTGTCGCAGACAAGGCCCCGGTGTTTTGGTGAAGATTGATTCGGCTCCTTGTGACCGGTAGGCCCCACACACCTGCCCACGGGCGGTGTAGTCCCGAGCTTGCCCTGCACGGTAAACGTGAAACCTGGTGCGTGTGTGGGCCAGTCACCTGTCGGATGGCCTTGGTTCCAAACCCCAATCGCTTCGCGCGGGACCCTACCATTTTCGGAAGTCAAGAGGCGCGCAGCGTCAACCAGGGGCAAGGTGCAGGCTGTCTATCTGAGTACTCAGGCGCAGGTTGGGAAGTGACAACGTGACTCTTTCTGTCTGGCAGGTGCGTGCTTCTGCAAGCGCACTGCGCAGCGCCGGGCCTCATCTGTAACCGCCGGCGCCCTGGCGGAGTAATGCGCTTTGGAGCCTTGAAGCAGACAGTGAAAGCATTCATGGCTTTTGTAGCTGACAAGACCAAACCAAGAGTGCTACAGAGGAATACGTTGGACGTATTTGGACACGACGCTTGTTTGCAAAAACATTTGCAGATGCAGATGCGACGCCTGGAGACAGTAGATTCAGTAGATGGACAAGACGTTCAGCGCAGGATGACTACAGATGAAGATGGTAGATTTGGTGCTTGCGAAGACAGGACCAGGTGAACCCACGGACACCATTGTGATTGAAGCCTTGCAGCAGAGACCGAGAGGTTTCTCTGCAATGTGCAGTCTTCAGTCTTAAGAATTCCCGTTGTACCACAGAAGGTGAAGACAAAGAGTGCTACGGATCAAGATGTTGGACTTGATGCTTACAAGCCAAAAATGCGCTAACGTCACGCCTTTAGACAGTAGCTGGACCAAATATTCAAACCCCTGAACCAATAACCGTCATCAGCCCCTAACCCCCAAAGGTCAATGCTGAACACGACTTGATTGAATTTGTGTTTCCAGGAGTTGATTTGTTTCGCCCGTGCGCCGAAACACTCTTGCAAGATCTCTAACATTGAGCTTCGGGGTGGAAGGGCCCACCTGTTTTGAAGGGTTTGAATATTTCGTCCATCCACGGTAGTAACAAGAAATTACTAACAAGTGCACAGCTACAAGTAGCTAGGAGCTACTAGTCTGAGAGGGGCGAGACTTTGACCCACTTTTTCAGGGGCTCTGGTAAGCGACGGTATTTCCATAAGTGATTGTTTTGCCATGATGGATTTTAATAGGGCAATGGGTCGTACAGCGTTCCAATGAATCCCCTCCCTAACCCACGCTGACGAATCCCTGGACCGTCCTCGCTGAGAACCCATGCTAGGACTTGCTGGTTGAAAAGCGGGAAGACGAGGAGACGAAATGAGACGAAGAACCGCTGCGTGGAGAAATGGTCTTAAAAAAAACGATAGGTTCCACTTGAGATAAATGGAACATGTTCGTTTGCTAGAGACTTGGTTCAGCTGGTGTTTCCTTCCAGGTTGCTTGTAGAGACTCTTATCACTACATACTGTGCCATCAGAACACATCAGAACACTTTCTTCATGAGGAGATTGTTGTGCAGCTTCTTTTCGCCTTCCAGTGCTTGGTCTCCCATGATGAGGCACAGTCTCCGGTCCCCTTTTGTGTATGCCGGTTTTTGGTTGCATTGGCACTGTAGGAAGACTCATACTCCACCAAACACGGAATATGGGAAAAGGGTGCGTTGTTTCCCTTCGTCCGCTTCACTTCGCAAATTTGGGCCTTTCTTGAATCATGATCAAATTGCCACCAATCCTTGCTCGTGTTGGAAACACTGATGAAATCACATCGAAAAGAGCGCGCAAGAGAACTGCAAAAGAGAGTAGGTCGGTGCAACGCCACTAAGCTTGGAAGAAACCCCTTCTTCAATCATTCTGTTAAATTGAACAAACGGACTGACGTGTCCAGGTGCGGGAGTTTGTTCTCCAAGAGACGGAACTTGCACCAGCCATCATGAGGCACCTACGTTACTGACCTTTTGGCTTGAGCTTGGATAGGGCTGTGATCATGTGTGGGAGTTGTTTGTGGCACATTCAGAATAACATATGTTTTCTCAACAGGATGCACGAAGGAACACTTACAGAAGACAGTGTGCACATGATGCTCAGGTTTGCCCGGGCGCGGAATCCTCTCGTCTTGGAGTATACCACTGCATTGTTACAGGCGAATGGTCGGTGGACTTGCAGCTGAGAGTACCCTCCGGTACCTTCACTTGTGTGATTAAGGATCAGGATGTTGCTTTGTTTCACCAAAAGGAAGGCGTGTCACAAGTATTGATCGTGCCCCGGCTGGATGGAGCCTGCGAGTGAGGTGATCGCTTTGAGCATTCTTTCCATCCAGAATAGCGTGACTTCCTCCACCAGGGTTGCTGCGAATCTTTTTAGCTGTTTGGTCAAAGAACCAAATACCCCAAAGACTTTCATGGAATTGGAGTATTGAGACATCAGGAATAACATGCGTTAAGTTTTATGTGAAGCAACGTTTCATTCCAATTCAACATGGTGGTTGACAGAAAGTATAAAGTTCCTTCTTCACCTGCGGCGCTACGGCTACAACCAAGGCCCGCCAAGGCCCACCTCAAGCCACCGCCTCGTCGTTGCTCACTCGTCTCGTTTGCAGATCGTTGCTGTGGCTAGCGACAACCAGACCACAGAGGTGCGGACCGTGGGCGGCCCGTAACATTAATTGCAGGACTAATCGACTTCACATAGTGCAAGGGTCCACAAACCCAGACCAATTGATTTGTTGTCCCACTTTGTACTTGTGGCTAGAAACAATGGATGCAGAGGGCATCCAAAAGTCTTTCAGGCAGGGGGTTGTGCCCGTGCTTTTCTTTCTTTTTGATGTTTGCTTGTGTTGTTTACACGTATCATAGGCCCAAAGGTACAAACGGTACAGTTCGGGGCATTGTTGCTCAGCTGTCATGCAGATATATTGTACACTATATTGTACTACAGATGGTCAGGAGAAACTTCAACCTGCAAGAATTGAAGTCATGAAACAGTCACAAAAGAATAGATGACCCAACTCCGATGGGCTCGATGTGGCCTTACTCAACCCTTTGAGTCCGTATGATGATCTTTTTGTGGCACCTGAGAAGTATGCCTCAATGAGCGACGCCGACTAGAGTTCGATCTGCCAGGAGGGAGTGCCTGACTGGGTGGCCCAAATCAAGGCACAGAGTTGTTAACTTGGCTGCCTTAATCTTGTCTTCATTGCTGGATTTGGAGACTAGCCTGTGCAATAGGTGCCAGGATTGAAAGGTTAGGACACGAGGTTGCTGTGCACATTGACAAGATTGAGCATCGTATAATTCTATTCTTGTCCTGTTCGCCAGGGTTTCCGCTTTGAACAGCACAATCCAGAGTGGTGTAGATATGTCCAGTCCCAAGATCAGTCCTTGGCAAAGAGTTAAGTAGTCTGAAGATCCGTTTTGTAGCAGAATGAAACATATTTGCAAACACCTAGGAACCAAATCAAACGTGCGGGGGGTTCTTCAGCGAAGCTCCCCCTGCCCTCAGGCAGGCAAATAGCTACCTACTTGCCCCTGTTACTACACACGCAACCTTCTTAAGCTCTCCCAGCGGCCTACCCCCCCAATATGCAACTGCTCTTAAGGTGAACAGAGAGCTTAGTGGTGGCACGGGCATGTCCCCTGGCGCCTATGGAGGGTACTATGACGACCAGGAGGCCGGAAAATCAAAGCAAAAGTTACATACATACAGATATTAAAGACAGATACACTTCCCAAAGTCATACCATGAATTATAGATATAGCATGATAGATCTGGAGTTTCATAGATACATGATACATAGGACACAGGTTTCCAAATGCTATACCATATATATATATACACACATACAATATGTATTAGTTGTATATATATATATATATAGGACACCCAAGGGTCTCAAGCATGGCTGGTCACAATCTGCAGCGTCAACGATGGCAGGGAAGTCCTCGTGATGATGAGGAAGAGTTTGCTTTCCACTGGAGCGCCCGGCACGGTTACTGACTCGTTTACAGGTTTCCCTCTCTTCGATCTGAAGAGCTACAAAAGCAATTGCATTGCTGTTGGAGGCCATCAGTTAAGTTTCCCTAAAAAGATCTAGAAACCACATGAATAGTGCGAGCGCTTCTTCAAGGAAGCTCCCTCCCGCCCTCAGGTGGGGGAAATTCCTTGAAGACGTGTGAGCTATCCTGCATCCATGCTAGTAGCTTAAGTAAGGTACTAGCTCCTCTCAGAGGTCGGCACATTTGCTGTCGCCAGGGCGGGCATGGATGCAGCTGATCCACGAGACCTGGCGAAGCGCGATTGGTCCAACCAGGTGGCGGACGGCAGTGGACGGCTGGCAAAAGGGAAAGATCGGGGTTCGTGGTGGGAGAGGCAGAAGAGGCCAGACATACACCAACCTAAGAGCAATTAAGAGCAATGGCCCCCCAACAGGACACTTTTGTTACGCTGAACTTGGGAAAGATGTTTTTATGCAAAGATTGAATTCCGAATCGTCCAAGCTGCAGGGCTTCGGAAAATCTCAGAGCAGATGGGGGTGAGGCAGAGCAGGGATGCTTTGTACAGACAAGCATCAAGATACCTTTACCATTTCTGTGTGCAATATGTGTTTATGGTTTCACACATCTGATTTGGCCGAAATGGGTCCTGCATGCTTTCAAAAAGAGCGAGGAGCGCTGGGTTGTTCACGGGATAAGGCTGAACTCATATGGCCTTTGCAACCAACCCGTTTTGGCCAATGCCCCAATGTACTCCGGACCCTGCGTCGCCCTGCGTCACCCTGCGTCGCCCTGCGTCACCCTTATGCTTCACAACAAATGCCGCCGCACCTCAATGTTCACACCTAGGGTTGGGTGGACCGACCCCAAAAGGTTAGGAGGCGTACCAGCCTGCAAGCTTCAGGATGCTTTTGCCCAGCTCTGGACAGCTGCACAAGTTGGAAAGAGAACTCCAGGGCAGTCCATCAGCTTCTTGTGCACGCAAACCTTAGCCACAAGACAATTTCCAGTTGCCAAGCAAAACTACCTTCATCAAGCCAATCCCCATTCTCGACTTTTAATGCCTGTCTGCCTCCGCTTTTGCTCCTGCCTGCCCCCGATTTTGCTGTGTCCCACAACGACGATCCTACGAAGAGTCCCGAGCCTTCTCACCCTTTACAACCTCTGCTTTTGTTCTTTAAGCCTCCAAACTCTCGGCTTGATTTCATTTGTTGATCTTTTTACTTTAGCCATTTTGAGGTGGCGTAGACTGGTGGTAACCCTGCGGCTCGTGGTTCAGTTTTTCGGGCGGCTGCTGCAGTGAGTCCTCCCAGTGGTCAGTTGCAGAGGTCAGTTGGAGAGTATGCGGCAGACTGCTAAAGGACCCGCCACCTTGCATGTGATGTGATGCTTTGGGCCACCTTTCTATCGTCACCCCTCCTTCACGATTGATCCTTTCGAGGCCTTTGTATTCGTGTCATTGCAAAGACGGAGTCAGCCTTTCGTGACCAAAGGCCTCCCCTGCGGTCTACGCCGCTCTTGCTTGGGAGTTCCTGGTGTGAGCCTTCAAGGAATTCTGTCACTGCCATCATCGGATCAGCGAATCAGGTCTTCCCCGACGTAATTACAGAGGTGCCACAGCACATGCAATGCAATTGCGGCTGACGAACATCCTATCCTCGACGTGTTTTTTTGATTATATAATAGAGAGCAAGTCCGATTTGGCTGCTCTGATAGATGAGTGAACACACACACACACTTGAGATGCTGGGGTGTAAAATTGTCTGTTCTCACCTGCTGCTTTGCTTTTCTTTGCAAATTCCTAGCAGGACACATTCCCGAAACTGCTGTCCTTCTCCAAGGCTCTAACTCTAACCTGGCACTTGCCACATACGCCGAAGCGTGCGAGTTGCAAGTCTGGATGTGTTTGGAAGAGGTCCGCAAAGCCACTGGGACAAGTCAGCGGCACAAGCTGGCACGACATGTTGACTCGTGTCTGTATTGTTGGACTCGGTGGACTTGGCGACCTAGTAGCGCCTCCAACCTAATAGCAATGGTCGCTTCAGCAACGAGTGTGACGCTTCTTCCTCAATTTGGTTAACAAGCTTGCCTGTTTGTTTGCGAGCATGCAGCACCCATCGGCAACGGGTGCAGAGGTGCGAAGAGTCCGCGTGTCTGCGTGTAGAAACGTTGTACTACTTGACTACTCGCCAACAACGCACAACTTCCCGGTAAGACATTGGCATCCCCGCTAGACTTTCACAAGACAAATCATACCTGCACGGTACGCAAAGAATCCAATCGCATGGAGCTTTAGCGTTGCCCCAGGACGCGCACCACAGTGAGAGCAATCCGAAGTGGTGGATTTGCCAAGAGAGGGCTGCATTTCAGCTCCCTTTTGTTTAGCGGGCTATGCTTTCGGACGGCTGGTAAGGGACCTGCCAGGATCTCGAAAACCGAGGTCGTACGCTCATAGAGCCCCAGGTACCAGTTAGAAAGTGCTTTGACCAGTGGGTGCAACGTGGTGGGGGGCAACAGTCTATCCCAAGTGAGTGTTCAAGCCTATGTTCATTTTGTGTGTGTGGTTTGTACCCAATGTAAGCCACTGTAGATGTATGTATGGTCAGAATTACTGTATCCTGAAGTTGTGTTTATGTACAGCACGTGTGTGTGTGCGCGCGTGTGAGGTGCCCCATCAGCAGCTTCCCTCCTGGTATATAGGCGTTTTTGTACAGGTTGTTTTTTCCCTTTGCTTTGCCAAGTTGCGTCCCTCTCGGAAGACACGTCTGACGAATGACAGTTATCAGCACTGACTTCATGGGCGGATCGAGTAGAGAAATCTCATGTTCTTGCCCTCAAACATGTCATCGAACACCGGTCGCCAACTTGCAAATCTGGTTGATCTTTGACGTGTGGCAGCCACTGTATTTTCACAACCTGTCACCGGCTGCACCATTTCCACACATCAGGCAGGTACTATGTTGAACTACAAAGGTGTTATCCTAGGAATGAACGCGGAATTTTGGTCGGGTCACTGGGGGAAGGGCCCCCCACCGTGCAGCACGGATTCCTGACTCCAACGGTTTCGCATGGCAGCTACAAAACCAAACCAGAAGCGCAAACATCTTTTTCCTGGACAGGCAGGCATTTGGCAAATGCCGTCCCTTTACGCACATTGCCGCTTGCATCTGTCAATGTGGCCAGCGATTTCAGCATATTTACGTGCCACACATGCCCGGCAACTGCAAGAAGTCAAGTTGGTAGACTCATGTCATTGTTGTCATTGTTGAACACTAAACGGCTGGGCCTCTTTAGATATGGCCCCACCCTTTGCTTTGTGTGTAGACGCTGGAGGCAGTCCACGCAGTCCCACGCTGTTCGACACTTATTGCAAATGTGTTGCGTCAATGTCAAAGCAAAAACTAGGCATGAGGCAGCAGCGCAGAAAAACAAGTCAAAACGGGTTGCTTTCCCTCGAAGGGGGCTGAAAGCACGGCCCCCTAAAGAAAAGGGAACTGAAATGGCGACTGTACAAATGAATTTGCCAAATAATGCGCTGTAAAAAGTTGCGCCGCTACATTCAGGCAAATGCATGTACATGTCAATGTACATGTATGTGTCCGTATTCACACATTTGTGCATGCACGCATGCACACACGTACATACGCTATTGTCTTCACAGGACATAAAATGTGAGTGAGCGCACGCATGCCTGTACTGCACCTCTCTCTTTTTCTTTCTGTTTTTTGCTCCCCTGCCTGGTTGGCAGGCAACATCGGGCCTGTTTGCCTCCCCCTGCCAAGTCTTCCACGAAGGGGCGGGCCGGCACAGCAGAGCAAACATGCACACAAGAAACAGGGAAGCAGCGGACAGACAAACAAACATCCAGACAAACAAACAGCCAGCCAGACAAACGAAGAAACAAACAGCTAGCCACGCAGACAGACAAACAGAGGACGACGGACACAGAGGCAGGAGGACAGACATACCGGCACACAAAAACACGCAAACACACGCACACAAAAAAAATAGAAATCACAAAAACGCCTCCCAGTTGGCAACCTTTTTGGCCTCCGCACACTAAGCAAAATTCAAAAGACGTAAAACTCCCGTTTTCGCCAGCCGAATATCTTGCCGGTTTGTTTCGTTGTCAATTTTCTTTCCTGAATTCAGCGCCGCCAGTGAAGAAGAACAAGGATGTTGTCCAGGGTACTCGAATGGCCGATGTCTCCCCCGATTGATAGAAAAAACATTTGTCAATCACCACTGCGTGTGGTTCATCACCAAGCCACTGCTTTGCTTTCCGCGACGAGCACACTCCCAAAACATTCCACGACCGACGTAGACTCCGTAGATGGCGCCGTCCAACAGCGAAGTCTTCCACTCCGAATGAAGTCAAGAAACTTGGCAAAAGATGGTGGCCGGGCATCGTGGAAACATTGGCGAAACGACCGCCACCACCGGGGCTGAGAATGAGGCCAACGCCCACGGAAACACGTCGACGCGCAGCGCATCACAAAATAGAAAGTGCCCGCCAAAACTTGAGGCCGATGATGATCAAATTGTTAAGCAACGGCCAGGTTTTGTGGAAGGTCCGACGTCCTAGCCACAAAACAAACACGCCAACCAGTGTGAGGAGGAGAAGGGTGGAGTCGGGAAGGCCGGAGAAAGAGTAAGAACCCCCCACTAGCCCACAGCCCACGTCAAATATAAATACCTCCGAGGCACCCCACCAACTCGTCCACTGTCTCGTCACTCTGCGGGCGCGACTTGTTCCCCCTGCGCTTCGGCGTGCTGCCCCCACAGGCTGGCTTCGAAACTGGTGGGGATTTTCGGCCGTCGCACTGCAACGCGCGGTGTGCTCCAGCCTGTTGGGAGATGATGGGGGTGTTTCTCAGGTCTTCCAGGCCTTGAGGCCCGTCAGCGTCCCTCGCATCAATCCTGTTTGACCCACATGGGCCCACCTGGATCCCTTGTTTGCCTGGGTGGTTGACGAGGGTAATTGAAAGATAATTATTTCCTCAG